GCGCACCTTCTAAATTCCACTAATTTGTATCCGCATACAAAATTATCAAAACTATACGGTTTCTCTTTCCTGTTGCACGAAAAACCTAAAAAAATGGACATAAATACGTGCATATATATTTAAAGCCACATTTTTGTTTTGTTTTTGTCTTTTCTTCCTGATTGAATAGCTCCATTTTCTGAAAAAAGAAAGGAAAAAAAGAAAATTTGGTGCGCACTTTCATCAAGTAGTCGCAAACTTTACCTAAGCTCTATGTAACCACATTAGCATTCATGAAAAAATCAATCTGTGGAAACTAAAGCAGCCCTCGAGAGGTAAAGTATTCAGAGGGTAAACTGAATATTCAAAATATCAAGTGACGATTGATTCGCTCGGCTGTTTTACTCTGTTTCTTTTTGTTTCGATTCGTTGTTCCATTTATTTTATTTTGCGCATCCGTGGTTTCATTTCCATAATTAATAAATAATCCTACACAATGCTCGCTTCCTCGCGCCCGTATTTTCGCTTGATGAACACTTTCTCCTGCGTTTTAATCATATTATCTTACCTAGTAGCCCTTGCCATTCCCTCTCGCCTTCTTTTGTCTTCCTGCTTCCTTGTCTCACCTCTCTCCCTTATTTCTCGCCTCTCTGAACTCCAGCAACTCCTCTCAAGGTCCTCTTGCCATGACAACTATTCTCAGACGTGCATGAAAAACTCGGCACTTGTTATCTACGCGACAAAAATAAATGCAAAGCTCATTTGTAAAAGCTTCTCTCTCTTCCTCCTCTATTTTTTCTATTCGGTATCTGTGTCAGGACTTTTTCACACATTCAGTTTTTCTACCTCAGAAAGAGTGTCAATCGCAACATATGCTGTGGCAAAATATCAAAGGTGGTTTTGGGGGTATGTGCCCATTTTTCTGTCAGTTTTGTGGCTCATATTTTAAACTGGCAATGTTGAAGCCAAAACTTTCCATAATTTAATGAGATCTAGAATGTAGACAACTTTTTGAACTTCAAGGCTTATCAGAGAACGTATACTTGTTAGGTTTGAACCGATGGCGTGCTGTGCTTCGCGATGAATCGGTAGATTTGCCACTAAAACGAATGGAGAAAATAGGTTATCACGGCGTTCGCTGCGAACGCTTTTTCCCGATTCTATAATTTGTAATTAAATTTAGCAATGCAAGGTTTTCATTTTCTAAGATTCAATTTTTTAGGATAATTCCTCTGTTTAAAAGGAGGATTACTATTTCTGATTTCCAAAATTAGTATTTTGTGATCATAAATTATTTGCAGATTGATATATTTGGACTGAGTCAAGCAGAAAGGAACCAACCCACATTTTGGAAAAAAATGAGTCTTGAGTGGTTTTGGACTCGACCACTGCTCTACTATCCATCACCAAAAATTCAAAGTTTTTATTAGAGCAATTTTTGCAGACATTGAACTTGAATTTCATCTTTTACATTGAGTCTTATGCAGGAGCAAAACTTTCAACCTCTTTTTCTCGGTTCGATCCTGATGTGGCTTGGTTCGGTTCTATGTAACTCGGTCCATTTAATCTTCGAATAGGAAAATATCGTAAGTCAGTGATTTAGGCTTCGCCACTGGTTTCAACATCGACCTTCTTCTGGTTCTCGAGTCCTGATTTTGACGGGGAGCCTCGTGTGAATCGGTTGCTGTTGAAAGCTGTCAAGCCTATTTTCTAACGAGCCTTGAGACCCACAAAACTGCCTCTATTCCAGGGCTCATCGAATCATGGATATGCTCGATATCAACAAGCACCAATCATACGAGGCCCCCTCGTCAAGATCAAGACCCAGGAACCGGGGGAAGGGGGCCGGAATCGCACCGGGCACACGTCATCGAGACTAATGAATGCAATCTTGTTCCCAACCACCCCCACCCTCACCCTCTCCCCCGTCGGGACCCTCCTCACAGCCACCCTTCAAATCCTTCTCCGCCAAGTCCTCGGTCTTGCATACTTACTTGGCGGAACGGCGAAAATTTTAATTACCGGGCCGTTAAAAACTGAATTGTGAGTGACAGGCAAAGGGTTGGTCCATGATTAATGCTCGCGCCGGAGGATCAGTGGCGTGGTGTGCTTTGCGATGTATCGATTGATCTACCGTTTAAACCTATAGAAAAAGCTCGATAAAGAGGGTGTTCGCAACAAACACCTTAATAATCGATTCTTTACCAAAGCTTCAAATGGAGAAATATCGATAATCGATCATTCGCGCCTCGCCGAAGCATGAATGTACGAGCATTTAATTAGCGGAGAAAGAAACCGTTTAGCGTAAGATTGACTCTATATTTTGCCACGGCCGAGTCGATTCTTGACGGACAGCTCCCGAACCAACTTGCTTCATTTTCCACCGTGAGAGCCCCTTCGGATGGTGGAGAGGGGTCTTGTGGCCTCTCCCGAGGCTTTTGCATCATTAGCAAGCCGAACCGGCTTCATTTATCTTCCTGTAAAACATATTATTTTCGTTTCCGAACTTGAGGTGAAAGCTCATCTCGGAAATGTCACGAATTTAAAAGTTAGGATACGTTGCATTGTGCATCGTTGAAGGGGCTGGAATCAGCGGGCTGATCACTGATATTGAAAGACGAAACGATAGACTAAGAAGATACCTAAAGGGATAATGGAGCGATCCTATTGGTTGAAACGGGTAGTTCTTGTTAGCTACGGGAGAAAATGATGGATCAACATCAGAGTCTCTTGTGGATTGCCGTTATTTAGTGTATTAATTACTCTTTTTGTCCGTCGCAACCAACCATTTCCACCAATAGAATCGCTCAATTTTCTTTGAGCCGTCTTTGTCCATCGCTATGTCTATCAGCGATTCGCTTTTTTAAACTTTCCTCCCGAATCTGAGCGACTCCTCTTTGGCAGCAGAAAGCGGAGCATTGCAAGTTCACGCCTCGTGCCATCGCGCCTTCAATTTTTCAGACGCAACACGGACATCCAACAAGTACGAATAGTTGTATCTCTGCGCCGTCATCAACGCGCGTCGTTTCCCTTGCTCTCGTCCCATATTATGTGTTTTTATGGCTCAACTAGTCGCATAGACTTCCTTTTTTCAACACTTCAAAGACGGAAAAATATGAATAGTTTTCTTAAAATGTAAGTCAAAAGCATAAAACAACCACGTACGTTTTTTAATAACTTGCAACTTGACAGGAGCTTGTGCATTCCTGCTGAAATCCGCGTAAATATTTGTTCGAGTCCAAACCATCTGCATTTCGCATTCAGGGGCCACTATTCATTACTTACTTTAGAAACAACATAAGTACCATTATTTTCCTTATACACGTAGTTGTTTTTATTGATGAGGCAGATAAATTGATTCCTTATTGATAAACGAAGTTCAAATGTGCCGTGGAGTTTCAAATCGTACTTCCGGCTCTCGGTCGTTCACAATCCAAGCACAAATTCCGAATGTCTCCCCTCACTGACGAAGAGATGCAGAGCCTTTGTAAAGTTAAAAACCGGCTGCAGGGTCTTATTATTAGAAGTGGAACTAAAGCACTACATGGACAGAAGTGCTGCTCGCAATATGACGAAGGAAGATGTCCGCTGGGTGATAAAGTGGCTTCCTTGTATTTAAAGATGTTTTCCTCGTATTTTCCTCTTTGCTCCTGGATTTGTTGATACCACTCGGATACAGCCGAGTGCTCGTGAGACATCAATCGAACAGAATGCAATCCAGAGATGAAAAGCGGAGAGGTAAAAGCTCCCATTGTTCTCTTCTACCACTCGTGCCGAATTTCACCACATATTCGATCCTTCAAAAGGATAAATTCGGTGTTTCTAGATACGATTGCGTCGATGTTTGTTGCCTTGCCGGTCTTCGAAAGTTTCGGCAGGCGAGGTGTCGATCAATTTCAGCGCGCGAAAACTTCCCCAACTGTGTTTGACTTTTTTCGCGTTTCCCCCTTCGTCAGAACAATGCGTAGAAGTTTCCTTTTTAATCACAACACTGACCGTCCCATTGATTTTGAAGTATCCGAAAAATAAAAGCGTTTCGAGGGAATAAGTCTAAAACATTACCGAAAACATAGGGTCGTTTTCATAGTCGTTCCTTAAACAACCTTTTCATTAGGAGCCCCTATTCGATTTACACTGATAGTGAGGAAGTTTTAAGGGAGCCCTTAAAATATCATCAAAAAAAGGACAAACTTTACACATCTCGAGTAAAATTCAGCAGTATAATTGAATCGGTCGATTACAAAAAGGCTCAAGCGCCAGATATAAAAATACGAAAAAAACAGTAGAAGCTATATAAACCAACCCGTTTTAAATTGCAGATTGATTAAGGGTGTGATTGATTCATTCATCGCTTTGATATTTTAGAGCTCTGAGATTTAGAAGGAATCAACTAAAACGGCTATCATCATTTTTCTCGAATTCTTATTTTTTGCGCCTAAGCCTTTTTGTAACTGACCGATTCAATTTTGGAAATGGGTCTTTGAAAGGGATTACAATAATTTACTACTGCAAAAAATAGAAAATAATAAGGAATCTATACTTATTGTGAGTTATGTAAATTTTAAGGTAGGTTTGCACCTACCTGCAAGTCCGTCAAAATTATAGAATTTTTTCTCTAGTATTTTGTTCTTTCTGTAGTTGCAAAATATTGTAATCCCTTTCAAGAATTGGACGTATTTCTGTCAAACGGAACTATGTGCATTATGACGTGAGCCATGGTATGCGTATTCTTATGGGTCTCAGGGCTCATGCCTTAATGCACATAGTTCCATTTGATAGAAATACGTCCAATTCATTTCCAAAGTTACAGCTACTATGAACTTTCACTCGAGATGTGCAAAGATTGTCCTTTAGATGATGCTATTTTGGGGGTTTTCTGAAACCTCTCCTTCACAATGTGAACGGCAAGGAGATTCCTAAGAAAAGGAGATGTTTAAGCAGCTACTATAAATACGACCCCAAAACAACCGACTCCGCGACGACTTCTAATATGATTTTTTCGATCGTTTTTATGTTCACAGGTTGATGACCCGTCAAGAGGAGTAGCCCAGACCAGAGCATCAAGCATTTCTTCTTATGACAGAGAGTGAGTACCAATCGTAACACTTATCACTATTTTTGTAGCGTAAGTAATGCGATGCACCCGAGTGGACTTGAGGTGAAAGCGTATGTTCGTCGATGATCGATCGAACCAAAATGGACGGATCAAGCGGTTTCGTATTTTTTTTTTTTTTTTTTTTTTTTTTTTTTTTTGACGCGATTATAATTTTTCGGAACAACATCGCGACTGGATAGAAGGTTGAATTCTTGCAAACGTCGGAGCCCAAATATAATCCGACAAAAAGTAGGGTTTAGAGGTGACCTGATGAAGATGATGGCATCCGACCAGCATCAATTTCGAAAGTCTAACCTGGTCACAAAAGTTCATCATACAATATGGAGGTCATTAATTATACGAGCAAGAATTCATTTTTGATTACAAAAAAATCGAATTCTCATGGGTGAAATTGTTTCAAAACTGTAACTGCGTTTTTCTCGAAATCACGTGTTTTTATCTTCAAACTTTGAAAGGCTCTAGAATAGTCAGGCTTAAATTTTTTTATTTTATTTTTTTGCGGTAAATATAATTCAAACTCAGCCCCTTAATTCTATGATTTAAGTTTTTTAGTGTCTATTTTTCACCGTAAATTCCTTTTTCCTCGGGTGCATCACAATTTAGAAATCGTGTTTCATCTGTTACACTGTATGTTAACAATAATATATTAGGTATGATAAAAGTTTCCTCTAAAATAGACCAACTTACTCTGGATAATAATTGTATATTTTATTTACTTTTGTGCTCAGGTTTGAATCAAAATAATTTACCATGTTCAGGGTGCAGGGTTTTCGTTTCCCAAATCAGGTGTCGGGATTGACCATTAAATCAAACTTATTTGGTGAACTTTGACTACCGATAAAGCGTTCAGGCAGTCCTTGCGACCCTCAATTCACCCTTCAGCTTGGATCTCAGGATCGGTAACTCACTCAGACCGCAAGAAAATCGGAAAATATTGTGGGGGAAACTACGGACCTCCGCTTGTATTTGTTCGGATCATGATAAAATATCGAGTAAAGTTATTCAGTTCCTGATATACCCTCTCGTTCGCTGATCCGCTCTCCTCCGTCTTCGGGATTTTGATAAAGAACCGGTCGACAAAACACAAGCGTTCAGGAAAATTCCTATCTGATAACTAACAAGGTTCACCCTTGTTGACTTGGTTATGCGATTTACTGCCTCAATAGGTGTTCGAAAGCTCGAGATTTATGCGACAGGCCATACATCTTTTCTTTTTACCCCTTCCCGCCCCGTCCACGTCGTTAGTTCATGATCAAGATATACCCTCCCAAGTTTTTTCGTAATTTTAAATGCAGATACACCACCAAGGAAATAGCGTGTTTTTTCATAATCCAGCAACGCCTCTCGGTGAAATTCTTGCAGGCATGCGGAAAACATTTTCGAGTTGACTACATTTTGCAAGTGGGAAGCACTATTTATAGCTCATCCTAAAAAGGTCGATTTGCATGAGGAAACTAATGGCACATGTGTTATTTCGAAAATGAGCCGAAAAAACAGTTCCTAATTGCAAAATGTAGTCCGCAATTTATCCATGCGTCTTGAGTAACTTGAGTGCAGTAAGAAACATTATTTTGTCACAAGTTTTCGGAAGTCGCGAGAAAATCTACCGGATTTTGATGATACCTTTTTGGATGACCCTCATACATGTTTTGTCAACTTATTTCATAAAAATTTTACGAGCTCTTACTAGGGGATTGGATTAAAGCTGTGCATTCAGCTGATACTCGTATATTAGAAACACATGTCGTCAAGAGATCTCAGGAAAAAAATCGTGGATATGAGTCAGTGGCGTGGCGTGAATGATCGATTATCGATATTTCTCTATTTGAAGCTATGGTAAAGAATCGATTATTAAGGTGTGCGCTGGGAACACCCTGTATATCGATCCTTTTCCATTGGTTTAAATGGCGGATCAATCGATATATCGTAAAGCACGCCACGCCACTGATATGAGGGTTTCGAGGAAGGCACAAAGCAATCGGTGAGCATTGCAAAGGGCACAATCTTGAATTGAGGCTACATTAAGCAGCGAAATTAAGAAATAAATTAAAAAAAAAGAGTCAAGGAATAAACCGGAGACGTCGGCCAACGGCGGGGTGGTGGATTTTAGACTACACATAAATTCCATCATAAGTAATTTATTAGCGGATCGATTTCAGCGAGGGCGAGGTAAGAGATGGAGGGAGCGAAAACATCGGAATGAAAACGTCGGCGGAAAGCAAAGAATAGCGGCGGTGTTATAATTCGTTCCCCTTTTTTTCATGAATCATGTTTATATTTTAATAATTGCTCTTATTTATGGCTCTGCTCCACCTGTTTGGGGGCTCTGCCAATACGGAGACTTGCATAACAGCTGCCTCGCTTGAGCGCTCTCGCCGGAATGTCAAGGGTAGGTTCGCCGTGTAAAGTATTCCGATCATTTGATCAATCGAATTTTTAGGTAATCGGAGATTTATGAATCGATTAATAATCAAATTAATTAATCAATTTTGACTGATTAAGGTGCGTATCTTGAAACTGTAAATTTTTAAAATAACAACCTGTATCCTTAGCATCGCGCCAGGGTTTCCAGGTGTCAATCAGCGTGTGTGCTGAATTTGAATTTCAAAAATCTTGCATGCTGAAAATTTTTCACGATAATTCAGCAAATTTTAGCTCCACTCTTCCCATATTTTCTCCCGAAATCCTATTTTCCATAAGATATCTGCACTTCTTGACTTGGAGCTGCCATTTTGAGAGGTCGGTTTTGTGCTGATTTTTAGAATTTTGACCCGGAAACTGGAGTGTTTTTAATCCTCTATTCCTCGGTCGTAGATAATCGATTAATAGCTGATAACATTTTAACAATCTATCAAGAAACCAAACCGGAGGAGATTCGATTAATCGTTCAACTAGTTGCTCATCGAAAATCTGTATACGTATTAGAAATTCGACCCGAGAACTGGGAAGTATTTCATATTCAATTACTCGGTAGTAAATGATCAATTAAACAGTTAAAATAAACACACACAAAGCAGGGTCAAGGCTAGATAGACCTCAAAATCTGGGCATCTTGATCCGCTTCTCTAAGCATCAACTTTTCTCTACATTTTAACCTACATTGAATGCGATGGAATGCACGCCATCTCGATGATGTTAAGCAATGAGAGAGGAAAAACCATTGCCCATCACGAGAATGTGTTGGTAGCAAGCAGCACCCATATCGTCAAACCTCTGACGTAAGGGTGTATCTCAATTACCGCATGAGCTCCAGAATGCATGTATTTGAATGTAACCCAGGGGTCACATGGAAATTCAGATACGCCCTTTGGTCAGAGGAGCGACGATATGTTTCAAAGGGCTAATCAAATGAAACGAAAACTTGATCTCAGATCACCTGTTGCTAGCCTACCTCGAGAAGTGGTCAGTACGCGGGACAGCATCGTATTACTACCCCACCCCCAGCCCCTAACTCCATTTCCTAGACTCTAATATTGTAACAAAGGCTGCTGGAGCTGCCCCTTAGTCCTCTGGAAAGAGACTGTTCCCCTCCTAGCGTCAACCCTGTTCCGAGCTTTGAGCTTTGGCGTCCGGCCCAATCGCGCAGTCCGATGCTGTGCTTGATTAAATTCCTCATTGATTGAGCTTGATTGGGGCTATCCGTTTCAAGTAGCCAAAAAAAGGGAAGAAAAAACTAATTTCGCCTCATTTTTAATTAAATCGATTCGTTTTTGCTCTCTCCCCAGCTAGACATTTCTTCGCGGAAATTCCGTGCTGTCGAATTTTTGGTGACCTCCCCCCCCCCTCTTTTTGGCTGCGGCATGAACCAAACAGCATTAATCGAATTTTTCCGCTGGCTATCAATACTCTCTAACAATTTCAAAATATACACAATGCAAAATGCAGCGTCCTTCCAGTGATTTTAAAACACCCTTTTTGAGATTAATGTATGAATGTATTTTTTTTTTTTTTTTCCAAATTGCTTGTGTGGCATCAGGAGATAAGTTTCAACTTTTAAATCGTGACATGTAAGGGAATAGAATAGAAGGTACATACATTTTGGAATAAACGGAAGGATTATAAGTAGGAAAACAAATTCAATTTCCTGCAGATTACCTATTATCATGAGCCTCAAACAAGGTGGTAATTTCATTAACTTTATAAAATCACACCTATTCCCTGTAATGAAAATCATGAATTATATCAAGTCGCTGTATATGTGTATTCGCTATATATCTTATAAAATCACACTTATTCATCTGTAATGAAAATCATGAATTATATCAAGTCGCTGTATATGTGTATTCGCTATATATCTTGTTTTGCCCCTGGTACCCCCAAAATCACTTGGTGTGCATTAGAGAACCATAGATAAGATCTACAATGCCAACTTTGAATGAAATTGAACGGATAGATTTTGAGATATGGCTCCAGGCATCTTAAAACGCCTAGAAATTATGAAATTTCAACTTCTCTTTTTTCTACACGATTACAATACCTCCTCCATGCACAAGGGGAGCGAGAAAGTAAAAACTTATAGAACAAAATTACACCCTATGGTTTAAAAGTAAGTACGACCGCAAGTGATCTATTTTGAATGATATTCCATCAACAATAAATTATGTTGCCCTTGAAAACACTTCATTACATACTTCGTCGGGAAAATGGACCAATTCCGCAGTCCGCAGTCCGCACCCATAGAGTGCCATTTGTGCAAGCCGTACAAATTCGATGAGATTCCTCGTTGATGCGACAACAGTGCTGTTTCACTTCCTCCCGGAGCTTCGATTGCAGCCCCAGCCTCGAAGCGCACCTCAAGTCGAGTCACTTCTAATAAACGTGTAACATATGTTTTCCTCCGACCCTACGCCAAAATCTTAATACTTATTCCGGTCGGAGCTGAGCTGCGGTTCGTCTTAATGACGCTCAATTTGCGTGGATTTTTACGATGAATTTAAAACAGCCGGCAATGAGTCGTCGAGACCGCCCTC